CTTATCATAAAAAAAATTTAATTGCAAAAAAAAAGATTTAATTGCAATTATAAAGTGTTTTACCCGATATTTATTTTTTCTATGTTTTGCTTTTTTTTTGTTTTTGCTTTGGAGTACTGTAGTGCTAGCTTAGCAGGACGCTAGCACCAAACTTATTTAAAATGAATTATGAAAATGTGGTACAAGCATAAAACAGGCCACTGCATGTTTTCTTGTAGAATATAAGTTGCTTATTACTCCTCGATTATGTATATATGATATTCACAGTGGATTGCTTGGGTTGTGGTCAGATCACAGTGACACACTAATTGGTATAGATTTACATAGAACTAACTGACGAAACAATTAAATACTCTTCTAAGATCAATGGCGCCCACTCTGTTTATCAGACATTTCTCTTTTTCTAACAGCTTTATTTTAGATGTTTAGCTTTTTCTAGCAGCTAGATGTTTGCAGGATGTGAAATGTTTTAGAGGTTGTTGTGGAATGATTTCTAAACATAATAAAGAATATCAATTACTCAAAAATCATGACTGAGGCTAGCAGAGTGACAACTTTAAAGTGCACCATTATATAGTGGCAGATGAATGGTATAGTGATATAGAGACATTAGCATAAGCCCATGATCATTTTATTGAAAAGCAAATGACTCTTTTAGATCATAAAGTTAATGGTGCTGCTTTTTATTACTTTTTTATTGGTTTTATAGAGCAAGCTAAAGCTGTATTAATGTCTGCTGAGTCCTTTATATTTTTTGTTGAATTGCTAATTTTATTGTGAGCATTATGCATTTAAAAATCAGTTTTGATTGCCCCATGGACTTCTGTCTAGTGGAAGAATGGGAAATACTGTATTGTCTTACTAACAGAGGCACATGATAACATTATAATCTGAGTTGACGTATTATCTGTATTTTAATGTATACAAGATTAGCATGTCCTAAATTACAGTGTGTTGAAAAGTGTTTGGGTGGCCAATATTCCTGGTGGATCCATGCATGCTTTTGAACTATATTGCAGAAACGCTTGCAAACGTTTTCCATACTAACGTTGCCAAAGGCATGTAGCAGTCTGAGTGACACTCAGTTAACAGCCATTCACTGACAGGCAAGGAAATATTCCTTTCTGTCAGCATCTGCCCACGGACCTCTTCATGAAAATACACAAGCAAACAAATGCACATGCACTTTAACCTTCAGGGTTCCTTATCTTCTTCTATAATGTAATTTATTAAATTAAAAACTGAAAAATAAATAAATACAAAACTGTTATTTATTTTTACTGTTTTAGATATCTATGTGAAGAATTACAACTGAAAGCATCTGCTTAATGAAAAAATAATGTAATTTTCTCATCCTCATGTTGTTGTTCTCAGTATAATAAAGGTGAATGAGGACTGGGGCTGTCACCCTCCAAAAAAAAAAAAAGGGCCTTATGATATGTGCACTATAGAACTTCTGAAGTCAGTCAAAATTCTTTAGTCACTAGTAAGCTTTCCATTCAGATATTAACCTACAGAGCCCTGCACATGACGTGCGGATTGTGGCCGTATCGTGGCAAGATATTGTGCCTACAAATGAACTAAATTAAAACAAGGGAACAAATGGGTACAACATGGCTGCGATTGACCTAAAATTAGGAAACAAATTAAACAAACATGGCCAAGATTTAAGTAATTAATAAGTTGTGAGAAGAAATACTGTATGGCCAGTGAGAATTGAGTCAATCTTTTGTACTGTCTATTAATCAAATAATTCTGAAAAATTATGAATAATTCTGTTTTTAACATGAATAATAATAAGTAATTTTTCTTGAGCAGCAAATAAGCATATTGGTGGATCATGTGACACTGAAGACTGGAGTAATGGCTGCTGAAAATCCAGCTTTACAGGAATGAATTAAATTTTTAAATAAATTAAAATAGAAAACTGTTATTTTTAATTATAATATTTCACAATATTACTATTTTTACTGTTTTTAATCAAACAAATGCAGCCTTGGTGAACATAAGAGACTTCCTTTAAAAACATTATAAATAAATAAATAAATCTTGAACAATAATGTATGTTTCCAGGAATGAATCTGTATGGTAGTGAGCTGACCCAGGACTGAGGTGACATGTTTGTGTGTGCTTTTGTGTGACTTGCCATGAGAGGTAGGGACAGCATGGTTTGCCCACACACACATGCACCATGTGACAGGAATCCTATCACAGCTGCGTATGCGTCATGAGCAAACACACACATACACACACATATCTAAAGTCACTCATGCTGATCGGTGCAGGATTGCATGGCTGGACTACTCGGCACTATTCCTGGACACACATTACCACACACACTCGACCTGATGGAAAGGAGAGAAAGTTTGAAGGACATTTATTGCCGTGTGTGTGATTGAAAGAGAGAAATGCCAGTTGTGCTATGCTGCCTTTTTGTGGAACAGTATATTGTGAAACTGTATTCTGTATGATAATCATACGCTTAATGTTACAGTGTGTAGAGGTATACTATTTCGGTTGATTGCTGTTGAGCCGATTGTTTTGAAGCATTGCTGTTGCTGGCAAAACTCAGCTGTTGCCGTGTTGGTAGTTACCAGTCCCATGGTGTGAAGAGATTTGTTACGCAGAGAGGGAGAGAGAGAGAGAGAGAGAGACTGCATGTGTGTGTGTGTTGCTACTGTACTGCTTGTAAAATGCATCGGCACTGCAGTAATTGACAGCTCGTCGATGCAGTCATCTGGCAACCCACCGGCATGATTCTGCTGATCCCAGAGCAGCTCTTACGCAAACGCACGCTCCCTATCACACCGCTGCAGACATCATGTGTGAGTTTTTGTTCACCTCCTTAGCCATGCGCTTCCATCGAAAGACTAAACTCCCGCACAGGGCACACGCCTACATGTGAGTAAAGGACTGAAAAAACGCAGAATAATGAATGTTAAATGTTATATGTGAAGATATGGGACAATAGTTCAGCCTGACCAATGTTGCTTTTTTTATGACACATACAAATAATTTTTAAGTGTCTGATAACCGATGTCCATAATCAGTTTTTAATTACCGTATTGCCCCGAATATAAGACGATGTTTTTTTCTTGGAAATACATCTGAAAAAATGCGGTCGTCTTATATTCAGGGTCTAATTTTATTTGTGCTGTTTGACAATACTAAATGATCATCGGACTATAACAGTAAACATAGTATATAATAATGATAATTCACAATTAAAACAACTTTGCATAATAAATTACTATTGATAATGATAATCATTAGTAGTAGTAGTTTATGCAAAGTTGATTTGGTAATAAAGTAACATATTCAGTTGAAAAGTGAATATTGGTAAAAATGTATCCATAACCAGTTTTTTAATTATTTTATTTGTGCTTTTTGGCTACAACAAGCACATTAACAAAACATTGGACTATATTAGACTACAATAATAAAACATGCATTATTATTATGCATAACGACATTAACTTTATTGTTATTGTTGTTGTTTTTGTTGTTGTAATTTCTGCAATGTTGTCTTCTAAAATATAGAACTGTTAACTAAATTGAAAAGTGAATATCAGTTTTAAAATGATGGTGAAGCCAGTTTAATTTATAATTATATAAATTAATACATTTATAATTTATAAGTACCGTTTTTCTGCAGATATCAGCATGAACACATTTAATAATCATTTTATGCAAGTTCAGTAAAGCAATAAGTGACTTACATTTTAGACATAATATTGCTTGTTTTTGCTCAATTTTGCCAATGAAAATAGCTCCAAATAAAGATCACAGCACTGTTTTGCGTCTCTGAGCAATGGACGTTGTTTACATAATGAATGAATCAGCTTTTTGAACGAATCGGTTGAATAAATGATTCAGTGATTCACTCATTAACACAGTCAAATGCAAATTGTTCCTGAATGAATCAGCCGTTTGAATAAATCGGTTGAATCTCAATGACTCACTGATTAACAGTCACTTGCTGCCACCTATTGGCGGTTTTAATTTCACATTTCGACAATTTTTTTCATGTTTTAAATTATTTCAAATATCAGTATTCAACGTTTTATGTTAAAAACAAAACATTATACCTATTTATGCATCTGTAACTGCAGTTTAAATGCATCAATGTCCCCTCTGAAATGCATAAACTGTGTAAATACATCTAAATGCTATTTCAGATGCAGATTCCAGAAATGCTTTCTTATGTTGAAATGAAAGACACTAAGTACTGGATGAAGTGCTTCTTATTCTTACCCAAAAAAACTTAATACAATCTTGCTACTCACGCTGTGTATGAACATTTTATATATATATTTATTTGCTTCTTTTCCATTTTGCTTTTACTTGTACTTTTACTTTCAATACTTAAGTACGTTTAAGATTTAAAAAATACTTTTCGTACTCAAGTACAATAAATATCACATACTTAAAGACTTTTACTCAAGTAATATTCTTAACGGTGACTTCAACTTCTACCAAAGTCTTTTTTCTGGTAAGATATCTGTACTTTTACTTGAGTATGGCTTTCAGGTACTTTATACACCACTGACCTTTGTACACCTTTTCCTTCTTTTTTGTGTTTCTCTGTCTCTCTTTATCTCTGAGTCATCATTTAATGACTCAGTTCTTATCATTTTTAATGCCGTTGACAGTATGCCACACATGCTACTCTTTTTACCTTCCATCTCTCTCTCTCTCCCTCCCTCTCCTTTTCTCTCTGCCTCTTTCTCTATGCATCATGTTCTCTCTCTGTTCCTCTTTCACACTCCCTCCATCTTCTCTTGTTTCTCCCTCGTTCAGCCAGATGGCTGAGTCCTGACTGGGCTGCATATGGACATTTGAAATGCTAATGTTGGTTAGTGTGCTAATATGTTTGTCTACACTGATCAGTTTCAGTGCCAAGATTACAGACTTGTTTTAGTCTCAACTTATAAAACCATTTGTGGCAGTTGTTGACCTAGAGCTCATTCTTTATCTCTCTCTGTCTTGTTTCCTCTTAGTGTGGAGGGAGATCCTCAGTGTCCGGACACGGCTAGCTTTTCCAGCAGCACCTGTAGTCAGGGCCCATACCTGGGCAACTCAGAGCGCTACGGGAACATCCAAAATATTCCTGGTCCTCAGGGGCCTTCTGTGGCCCCTTCGAGCCCAGTGAGCCTGGCCTGGGCGCAACGGACCCGCAACCAGCCCGCCAGCCTGGCACTCCGCAAGCAAGAAGAAGAAGAGAGCAAGCGCTGCAAAGTGCTCTCTGACAGCTATGAGCTCTCCACGGACCTGCAGGACAAGAAGGTGTGGATCTGAGTTCCTGAATAAACATATAGTCCTTAAGGTCTTTAAGCTGCCTCTTGAAGTTCCCATTGTGTATTTACCATGGTTAAGGGTTCACCTGGTCATGAAAATTCAAAAATGTAAAGTTAGAAATTGATAATTAATTGGTAAATAAATATTGGTAATAAATGCCTAATTACTGTCAGAAGATATAGTAGAAGAAAAATACTCACTTGGGTTTAGAGTCATGTGCACTTACAATAATTATATAATAGTACAATATTTGCATTGATTAATGTATACAAGATGTATAGGCCTACTGTTTTCATTAAAAAATTCAAGAACATTTAGCCTATATTATATAACTGTATTCTGAGATACATTGTACAATTTCAGACTTATAACTGTATATTTAGATTTAAATATTTTTATATTTAAAATTACAACTTTATCTTCTGGATTTATAAATATATATTTAGATTTAATGTCATTGTTTTATTTACAGTATTTACATATTAGGGGTGTGCCACATCATACCGTCCACGATAATACCGGTATAAATTTTTACATGATAAAAAAAAAGTGTCATATCACGATATCAATGATATAGCGTTGTGATGACGTATGGCGCATTTACGTTCCCTGGTGCGCACAACAACAACAACACAAACCCAATAGGTGTGTTCGACTTGAAGCAGCACTGCGCAGACTTATTTAGATTTAATGTCATTGTTTTATTTACAGTATTTACATATTAGGGGTGTGCCACATCATACCGTCCACGATAATACCGGTATAAATTTTTACATGATAAAAAAAAAGTGTCATATCACGATATCAATGATATAGCGTTGTGATGACGTATGGCGCATTTACGTTCCCTGGTGCGCACAACAACAACAACACAAACCCAATAGGTGTGTTCGACTTGAAGCAGCACTGCGCAGACTGATCAGTGTATGACATCTTGGGTTGGGAACCGAGTTCTGTTTTTTGAAAAGAATCGGAACCGTGAGCAATTTCTAAGTTTCGGTTCCAAAAACGGTTCTGGTGCTACACGTGACCAAGCACTGTGAGCAGCCTTGCGCCGGCGTTTCCCATAAAGGGTGTCACAAACCAAATAACAGAAAAATTGTTTCCCATGACGCGCACTCCAGACACGCCGCGTCTTTAACTGCCGAACACATCGTTTTCCGCGACTATACGCGCACTCTTTGATAACTGTTCACGTTTGTTTTGTCTGACTGTTCATGTACCGGCAGCGCACAGCTCCTGCCGCCACTAAATTACATTATGTTTGTCCCATATTGTCATTAATATACATACTGACTTCAACTTGGACCATTAAATAAATAGACTGCTATTGTTATGCTAGTATAAGGGTTCGATTATTTAGTGTACAGGTCATTTCAAGAGTGATAAAGTGACAGAAAATATTAATTTTCATGCATTTTAAATGTTTAAAAATGTGGAAACCACTCATTGCATCACACCATCTCCTGACTGCATTATTATTTGTAAAATAGGGGCTTTATGGAGTGTGTGTATACATGGTTATAAGTATAAAATTATTTCATTAATTTAGGGAAATTAACATGTGTCTTAGCCCTCAAGGGACTATTTGGTCAACCAGCTTATTCCTGCTTGAAAAGCAAAATGTTATTGATAGTGTAAAAAACATCAACTTTGAAGCACATGTGATTGATGGACTAGCATTACTCAACATTACTTACTACCTTCCAGCAGCACTACATTCAATGAAGGTAAAATAGTAAAAATAAAAAATAAATTATTTACATGGAACCGGAATGGTTAGGCGGAACCGGAATCAAAACCGGAAAATTTCTAACGATACCCAACCCTAATGACATCAAAGTATCACGAGAGCGGTTCTAGAGCATATTTTAACGCATAGTCTTACCGTCAAAAATAGGCGAGATGCCTATCTTTAGCAAAGCGGCGCACTTCTGAAACGTGCCGCGGCGCGGCTGGTGTAAACACAATTATTGTGATTAGAGACTAGCTCTGGTGGCCGCGTCGGAGCCACAACATGCCGCAGAGGCGTGCAGTGTAAATAAAGGGTAAGTCACTCTCGTGGTATTTTGATGTCATACACCGATTGGTCTGCTTCAAGTCGAACACACAGCTGCTTCTGCCACCTTATGACAATAGATTTACACTTCGAATTAGGTAGTCTGTCATCGATGACAGTAGCTCATTGGAAAAGGAATGAAAAATGCCCTTAATTTTGTTTGCACTAATAAATGCTGCAGCCTGCCAGCTGCAATCACCAATAAAACATTAAACAATAAAAATTTATCGTCATAAATATCGTTATCGCAAATATTCTTGAAATATCGTAATATAATTTTGAGGCTATATCACTCACCCCTAATACATATAAAATATCTCTACAGGTAATTCATTAGTCACAATCAAGCCATTTTTGGTCCTCGCTGCAGCCAAAATGACAAAAATAACATATTCTTTATACATACATATTAGATATTTATTCATAGAACTACTGCAACTACTACTAATAATAACAATTGTTGAATACATAAAGGTGTCAAAACTAACACCTATTTGTACATATTATTTATTCTTTTAATAATTTAGAATAATAGTAAAGTCATCAAAATTATTAAATAGCACAAATGGAAGTACGGAAATAATGCAGTGGCCAAAACAAGTTAAACAAATCAAATCTTATATTTTAGTTTGTTCAAAATTGCCAGTCTTGGCCTAGAGTACATCTATTTAGACACAAGGGGGGAAAAAAAGTCATATGTATCTAAGCAATTTTGTGTTAAGGGTATGTGTATGTATAATGATGAAACTACACAGCCTAACATCCCTTATGTTCCCGACTTCAGGTAACAAAGATCTTTCAGAAGAAGAAGACATCTGTGACGTACAGTTTCAGACAGTCTTTTCCCCTGGTGGAGATGCAGGTTCATATGTTCCAGAACTCCTGTAAGTATATTCATCCCTCCATCTGTCTGACCATCTGTCCCTCCTTCTTTATTTATACTATCACTCCATTCCAGCTCGTTTACACACTCTGCTCTCATCCACCATCACTCTCATCTGATCATCCACCACTTATCTCATCTCCGTGCTCTCTCGTTACCCTTTCCTTGCTTTCATGTAGGTGGTGTTTTGGTTTCTTAGCAGCATATGAAGGAGAAAAAGAAGTCTATCTGAAAATCCTCACCCTCTATTGTGGCTGTGCTGTTAATTGGGAACATCTGTGGAATGTCTGTTTTCTATTTATCTTAATCAGTGTTTGTTTTGCACTTGTTTTCCACTAAAAAAATATCTACACATCTTTAAAAGAAAATAAATTAGCTTGAAGAATTATTCCACATGGTTAAGACCATATATTTTGAATGAAATATATCTTTCCTACACATTGACATGCTGAAGTACAGTACTTGTGTGTATCTGTGGATTTTGTCAGAATGAAAGATCTATAACTAATTACATGAGACACAGCACATCCCTCTTTTTCTGGGTCTCTCTCTAATTGACTGCATTTACCCTCTCTCTGTCCCTCTCTCTCAGACTATCCTCATGGTATCAGACTGACATCAGCGATGCCTGGCAGTGAGCGTAAGGTCCTGATTGTGTTCAATGCGCCAAGCCAGCAGGACCGAACGCGCTTCACCAGTGACCTGCGTGAGAGCATCGCTGAGGTTCAAGATATGGAGAAATACCGTGTAGAGTGTAAGAAATCCTTTAATGTGACCTGTTGTTTCACACATGACAGATCAAAAGCATGAAGTTCCTTTCCTGTTTGCAAGCTGAAATTTCTGAAATTTGCTGTGTATCTGATTAATTATTAATTAAGGTTATTGTTCATTATGGTAATAGTCCGTTTTTGCCAGCATTAACCCCTGGTCTCTCTTCTCCATAGCTGAGTTAGAGAAGCAGAAAGGTGTGATGCGTCCAGGGCTCCTGAGTGGAGATGGGGGCGGGGTTGGCAGAATAAAGACTGAAGCTGTGAACGGCACTCTGGGTAGGCCCAGTCTGGATGACACGTACACAGCAGGGGAGGGGCTTAAACGAACAGCACTTAGCTCCTCACTGAGAGACCTCTCTGAGACAGGTACAACGCACATTCACACAAAAAAAACTCCCTTCTATTTAAACTACAGCTGTCAGTTTTATGTGTTCATTTAATGGAATTATAGCATAACAATGCAGTAAGTATTAGCACATTTTAATTATGGATGCTTTATGGATTTCTGTGGACTGTAGGCAGCTGACAGACCTATGTTGTAAAACAAACAATTTGATTTCTTAAGCCACTTTTTTCTATTCATTGCTTTTTCTTGTTTGCCACAATGTAATGTCTTTTTAGTTTCATTCAAATATGGACATTAATTAATTGGATTAATTACAAATAAATTAGTGTATATTATTTTTATAAACTATTGATAGCCCTAATTTAAATTAGTTTTTGGCTTCTCTCTATTGGGAGAAATATTTATAATTCCACCATAGTTTGATCATGAAAGGCGTTCTGTGAGTGCTGAAGCTGAACTATAGAAGTGCTGAACTTCTATAACCAAGTACAGTTTGACAGACACTGCCCTCTAATGGCACATTATGTCCTTGCGTAAGGCTTTTTAAACAAGTGTCTGGAATAGCATGCTCATAATTTTTTGCAATGATTAGTATGTACACTGTCACAGTATGCAAAATTTCTGTATGCATATAATGTACAGATGATAAATTTTTTTTAAGATGTGCAGTATATAATGGAGCAGAAATACTGTATCCAACAATACAATGATCTTGACTTTGACCTTCTAAGTAATATCTGCCAAATGTTTTTTTCTTACTCAGTGTTTGATGGGGTTGCCAAGTGCTAACATATTTTTACACAAATTATATAAAAATACAAAATAGCCATTTTATAGAGGATAACTCGCAGAATTAAATGTAATGTGGGCATGTGACAAACACTACTGTTTTAAATGCCTTCTAAACACAGTCAATATCAAGTTCAGTGATGTGAAGTTGAGTTTTGTCAGGAGACATTTACAATTTGTACACAATTTGTAGATATTTGTTCATTGAAAATGGATCATCCAGGGCCAAACACCCAGTATTGATATTTTAGAAGATGTTTTCTCCATGACCTTTGACCCTGACCTTGCTGTGCTTGGTTGGATACAGGAAAGCGAGGCCGTAGAAACAGTGTTGGCTCTTTGGATAGTACTATAGAAGTAAGTCAGGCAGATCTGCTAATGGCTTGTAATCATAATAACATTAAATTATCTTGTGTTTCAGCTTTCTTAAATGCATGAGACCTCTGTGTTTAAAAACATTGGCTTTGCATGAATTTTTGATTGTTGTGATGTAGTTCAGCATGTTTTAATCCGTATTGTGTAAAAAACTTAATTGGTGTTTGCTTTGCATGCAGCATTTCTAATATGTTATGCCTGGTGCAGTTGCTTATGACTAATGCATTGCTCTGGTAAATTAATGGCCCCAATCAGTGTCTGAGAGCTGCTTCAGTTTTAGAGGTTTAGATGCATGTTTAAATACATGTAAAATGAGTGAGATTCTATAATGAGGAAGCTTTACTTTGTTATCTGACTGATTTTGTGGCTTGTGAAAGTGACACTGTCATTTCTAACTTTGGCAAGTTGTTTGAGTCTGTTTGTATTTAATGCTGAAAAGCTTTTTGGGTTGTCACTGAGCAGGAGATGTGAGTACAGTGATGTTTCACGTCTTGTGTGCTTGTACTTTTAAGTATCAATATCAATTGTTGCTCTGTTTTTTTTTGTTTTAGTTTTTTAGATGTGCCATTACAAAAATTCTGGCTGATACCAATAAGCTGATAATTATTTTCATGTTATAACCATTTGCTGATAAATGGAAATCATTCAAATGTATTAATATAGTACAGAAATTAAAAGTACACATTAGAAATAAAATATATTAATTTCAAGTTCTGCAAGTGAATTCAGTCATTACATTAACATTTAACAATAAATTATTGGTGTTTTTAAATATAATCTTGTAAATCATATTGTTTTACACTGTACTTTGTACATTCACTTGTTTTAGTGTTTTATTTTTCTCTTTTTGTAAATTAGAAAAAAAAAATTATAGAATTTGAATAGAGAGCCAATTGGTTATTGCATGAAATCATTATCTCTTATAATGAATTTTAATATTGGTGTGTTCTTGAGAAGTAACATGCATTATTTATTTGAAAAAAGTATCTGGGGAATGCCTGTCACTTGTAACTCATAAGTTCTAAGACTGGCCATCTACTCAGATTTCCAGTGTAATGACTGTCTGGCTTTGTGTGTTTGTGCACACTGTAGGGATCCATCATTAACAGTCCTCAGCCACATCAACGCTTGCCCATAGGGGGCGCCGTTCCCGGCTGCTATGGGCTGGAAGACTACCGGCCTCACCGCCCCATCCTGAGCCCCGGAGTAGGGGTGGGGGGTGGGCCGGGGCAACTTCACAACGCCGTAGGCAATATGGGGGGAGTCCCTGGCATCAGCAATCGAGGTGGGGGTCCGGGGAGCAGTTCTGGAGGGAGCAATTCCGGTTCCTTCCTGGGCTCCCTGTTTGGGAGCAAGCGCGCCAAACCCCCTGCTCCCCTTACTCCCCCCGGGCCACATTACCCGGCCCCCGTGCCACCTCCTACAACAGGAGGGCCGCCACCTCTGTCCCCCTCCGCCCTCATCCAGTCAGACCCCGGTGGGCCATCCAAGATCCAGGCCCTGCATGCTCAGTACTGCCACAACAACTTTGGCCAGCCTCCACCCCCCTACCACCATCATCATCAGTACCACATGCAGGCCGTCGCCCCTGGCCATCCGCCCGCTATCCATCATACCCTACAACGAGGGTCCCTCCCACGGCGCGGGCCGCCCGCTCCTTCACATGCCCAGTTCCAGCAGCAACTATCCCATCATGCTATGCAGCAAGGCCGCTACGGCAATATGGCCTGCACCCCTCCGCCTCTGTCCCCGCATTCGCCCAATTCCCCCATCGCCCCTTTCACCTTTTACCACATGCATCCCAATCCCATACGCCACGTACGGGTGCCCGGTCCTACCGGCAAGCTTCCTCTCACCCTGTCTCACTCTCAGCCCCACCCTCACGCCCACTCCCACGTTCACTCTCATACCCACAGCCATCCAGTACACGCCCACAGCCCACACCCCTTACTGGATCACTCCGCCCATCAAACTCACTTCGTTTTCTCGCCGCCCCCTCAGGCGCCATCCGCCATCACCGCCCGCTACATACCCCAGGGCGTCGCCCACTACATCCCACAGTATCCACCCCTCTCCTCCATTCCACCTCCTCCACCACATTCCCCGTTACCTCCTCCTTCATCCCCACATACCCCCCTGACCCCTCTTACCCCACTCTCCCCGCTTGCCCCGCAGCTCCCAGGACACATGGGGCTGCATTTGGGTGGCCCAGGAGGTGGAGGAGGAGGTGGAGCCAGCAACAGCGGCACGGTCGGCAGCTCCAAATCCAAACCTATCAACCGCATCAGCACGGTGGTGTAAGGGTGAGCCGCGGCAGAGGGCGCAGGGTCCCAACGCGGAGGAGCCGGAGCCCAGGCAAGCGGAAGCACACCATACTCAGACTCTGTTACTTCCATATCCGCTTCCCTCACGTGTAGGGCGGGAATCCTGGCCGGCTACATGCTCATTGCTAGCCTGAATGGCATCTTGCTGTTGGCCGCCATTCAAAACAAAGGCTGTGTAACAGCATCAAATCTCCGACTGAAGATCTAAGAAGCCTAATGGAGACAGTGGTGAAGCAAATGAAGTGTATTTTAAGAGTTCGAGTTGAAATTGACATGCATGGCTGCCAAAGGAAAAGGTTACAGGGAGAAAGGGGGTGCCAATTTTAAGTCGGACTGATGATCTGGAGTTTAAGAGACCAAGTTTGACTGTACAGAAGTCAGAAGACGACAATGGTGAACTCTTTAAACACTCAACATGGAGACAAAACTGGACAGATGAGTGCAAAATATTTTAAAAAATGAACTTTCATTCATAGTCTTTTCAGTTTTCATGCGTCTCAGATGACAATCATTTCAGGGTCAGTCAGAAAATGTTTGCTTGATTCATTTCTCAAAATTGACAAAAAAAGAAAACTTGTATCACTACACAGTAAAAAACAAACAAACATTATTTTTAAACCATTTGAAGAATGTTTTGTTTTTTGTCTTGAAGAGGCTGGGCATCCGGTTTGCAATAAGTCAGCCATAACAGTAAAAAACACTTTTTTGAAGACCTCAGTGAAGTCAAGATGTCATTTGCGCCAAACTATGTCATTTGCGAATGTGTAGAAAGAGATTTTAAATTGTTTGGTAGATATTTTGTTGTTTTGTTTTGTTGCTATTATATAAGACAATTAAGCATATTAACCTAAATGCAACGTACACAAAAGTGTCATGACTAACGGCAACCAATAATGAGGACATGGATCTGTTTATTTCCTGTTACCTCAGCATCTCTCTTTCCCTTTTAGCGTCACCATTTCACTATTATTTTCATCTTTACTACTTAAACAGTCTCACCTGACCAATGAAACATTTATATTTGGCAATTCATCATTACATAACCTTAGTGCCTACTGTAAAGGTTTGTCATTGGAGGTTTGAGATCAGTGTTATATTTTCTTTGGATGACCTGTTGAAGGAGCAGGGTGTTTGCATAGAGTGTCATTGAAATTTTGAAGTAAAATCTGTACTTATGGGCTTGGTTTTGTACAGCTTCGATGGTCAAAATGTGTTACAGATATCATAAATATTTAGAAGTAACTGAATTTGAAAAAGAACGTCTGGATATGGGTAATTGTAATGTGTGACTTTATTACTATTATGATGTCAAATACTACTGATATAATTCTTGCTATTTTTGGTGTAAAAGCTACAAGTATAATACATGGATATGTTTTAGCAGAGTGCCGTGCTGAGTGTTTTCTAAGAGCTTTTTTTTTAGACAGACCAACAGGCTAGGGTTTTTGTGTGTGTGTGTACAATTAATGTTTAGCAAACTAATTGGACTGCTAATTTCAGGTAAATGTTTTGCTGCAAGTTTGTAAAACTATATCCACATAAAAGCTGTATGATCCGTGTTAAACTCGCTGCCAGAAGCCATACATACTTGAGCAACTCACTCGTTTAATATTGTGAATTTACGCTGAGTTGCATGTCCAATGTCAGTGCCCTCTTATTTATTTTTTTTATATGAAAGCGTGTTTAGGGAACTTACATTCACACACACGCACACACTCATTCACACTGAGAAGCTGTAAAAGCATCTTTAAATGTGAAGATCTTTTTGCTAAAAGTTTCTGGTTTTGCACATACACAAGTTAAAGATCATCAGTGCCTAGTATCCAAAGCTCCAATACCATCTGCATCCCTCCAAACAGTCCCTCTATCTTTCCTTACTTTTCCCCTAGACAACCAAAATGGGCCATTCTCTCTCCATTAAGCAGAATCATTCACAGTATTACATTAGTGATGTGTTAGTGTTGAGGAGTTATTTTTATACTTATAAAATGTAAAACATTTTGAATGTCCTACAAAACATCTTAAATAAGAATATTAATCTCTGCTGCTAGTCCCAGTCATTTATCTTTATTGCTTTATTTATTTTTTATTATTTTCTTTGCCTATATAAATTATGTTTAGTCAAACTACAATACTGTTTATTCAGGTAATGGATTCCAGTACTTCAAATCTGCTAGCATTACCCATAACCGGAAACCTTAAGGCCCTTGTTGACAAACAGGAACTCCTTGCCCCTGTTCATAATCTGTGGCGTGATCTGAATTTAGAGGGCCATTCACTACATTTCACATTTTTTTCCTATGGGCAGTATTGCTTCTCTCTAACGCTTTGCTCTTGTGCTTGTATTAAAAGTCCTGAAAGCTGGGGCATGCTGAGCTCAAATGCAAATAAAGCAGAGATGTATGATGTAAAAAAAAATCCAGTAGTTTTTGAGAAGTGTGTTCTGGTTTATGGACACTCTAATGTCTTGCGCCACCGTGCCCCGTGTTGCATGTCTGCACTTAGCTGAATGATGCTGTATAAACCTGAATGTATATATTAGTTGATATACATATGCCATATTTACTCTGCACTGGACTGGGGAATCGATATCTGGCTGGGAATGGGAACTTGAACAATTGTTTACATTTTAAGGACCTGTGGGTGGGGCTTGGAACGAATTGTAATTGTAAAATTTTATCAGTACGTGTGTAAGAGCAGTTCCTATATTTAAAATTAATTGTATGAAATTTTATTTGTATATATGTATGAGGTTTCAATGCAGAATTAATTCAGAGAAATGATGTGATAATTTATTGCTCTCATTCTATAAAACATGTTCTTGCTGTTGGAAAGTTGTTTTTTTATATATATACATATATTTCTGAGTGACTATTTGTCTGTGTGTTACTCTATTTTTGTGTGTGTACAGTATGAATGTGTGTGTTGTGTGCATCCAAGTATGAAATCAGGGTGTTGACATTTATATTAAGCATACAAAATTGTTTTATTTGTCTAAAATTTTATATTTTATACGGTCTCAGTAATGCATTGAAATAACCACTCAAGAACTAATGCACATTACACATTGTATAATCAGGACTATTGATATCAATCAACAGGTACCATATGAGTATAACTGTAGATTTCTAAATTTTTATCGAACACCAAGACAGAAATGGCAAATGATGCTGGATAAAGTCCTCTGGTCACATACATTTGTATATATTAGAAATGGAAGTTCTCCACTAAAGTTCATTGTGTATTTCTGGCATGTACAGTATAGTCAAAATCATAGTTAAAATCATGCAAAATTAGTTGAGCAGAACAAGTGGCTCTCATCACCAAACTGGTCAAAACTCTTAAGGCCATTTTCTACAAAATCTTCAAACAGTTTTGAACACTTACAAATATGTTAACAAATTCGTATATCATTAATTTAATCATGAATAAGAATATCCCCTCATTTTTAACTCCTTTGCTACACTTGTGGGAACCACTTCAGGTTAAATGTTCCTAATAACAGTATATTAAAATGTACAATCTGTTTTCATTTTGAAGCTGGTTAGATTTCATATGGATTCAGTGTGTGTTTGTGCTTCCCCTTTTGCTGGTGATTAGTATGTGTCCGCACTAGGCCTCATAGGCTTGTGAAAGTCTATCCGTGATGACTTAGGGTGTTAGGGAAAATAATTACCATACATTCAAAGTTAAAAAGCACAATGTGGCTTAAATTGTGCTTTTGTCGTGTTTTGGTCATAATGAACAGTACAGAAGAATAGTGTAATCAGACCATCACAAACAAGCAGTATAAATGTTCAGCACCACATCTCTGTAGGAAAGTTTAACATGATTGTGTCTGCACAGGTTAAGCACTTATATGATGTTGTAGTCAGAGCAGTAAATTGTACAAAAATCTTATTGTTATTCCATCCCCCCATTATTCTCCATGAAAATTCAAGAGTTACGAAATTGAATCATTGTTTGTCTTTTGTGCAGCTGTGAGGAAGTTACCGATTGAATTTCATTTGTCCAATAGGTTTGCTTGCAACGAGCAGATTTTGACTAAGACCTGTCTGTCTGTACAGTTGGTGGTGTATGCGTTGTGCTTGTCTGTGTACGTTCAGTCAACATTCATAATCTTCTGAGTGTCTTTGTCACTCAGCCATGCGCTGTTTTCAGTTTAAAGTTAAACAGAAATCCTCAAAAGCAGACGTTTGACCTCAGAGGAGTGATCATGTCTATTGAGAAGCAATACAATGTGACATTCATTAATCAAGAAAATCAAGTTTTTCCACAAACTTTAAAGTACTGCCACCCATAAACATTGACTTGATTTTTTTGTTTTTTTATTTGTTTTCCTAAAAAATCTTTGAAAGGTATGTTTACTTGAGAAGCAACACTAAGACTTAAGAGAAGTAATATATTTTATATTGGTCTGAGTATAATCAATTTAAAAACAACTGATAAGTATCTATGAAAACAAGTCTTATCTAGTGTTGCTTCTCAAGTAAGTTTGTCTGGTTTGGGACTTTCAGATATTTTAACTTCAAGTACTCGTTACAAATAGGATTTGTTGAAATTAAATTAGAGAGGGCGATAGTTGCTAGACGTTGCTTAGCCATATTATTAATGTAGAAAGATGACGCTTGAAACTTTTGAGAACTATAAAATAGATTATCTTCCTGTTGTCCTTCCACACCATCAGACTGTGGTAACAGACAGAAGAGGATTATACACCTTTGTCCCATCTGGAGAGCGAGAGCCATGTGCCAGTAGCTCTTGGATGGTGATCCAGTTGTCCAGTATGCGTCGGTTGCGTTTCTTGGAGCTCTTTTTCTGACTGAGCTCCAGGATTGAGGCTGGGTTCTGCCCTGACTCCGACTGGCTTTCCTTGCCCATGTCCAGACCGTGTTCTCTCATATATTCCAAGCGACTCTGCATCATAAACTCTCTGCGTCTGCGCTGTTCGCGGGCCCGCAGCAGATGTTGCTTACGCTCTTCTTTGCTCCAGTAGCGACCCATCTTCATTTCGCTCACTGCGTCATCATCAGTCGTCATTCCACTACGCTCCTCACGGATCTTCATAGCTCGGGCTTTCAAGAGCCGGTCTCGGACAGGACGTTTGGCCACATAGCGGGTCCCATCGCTTCTTATCTTCACCTTCCACTCCATGCGTGGTGACGCAGGGGGAAGTGGCAATGGTAAGGTCAGAGAAAGCTTCACTGGGCTGGGGTGAGGCAACGACCCCAAGGTGGCATTCCCATGGCCCTCAGGGTCACTGCCGCCTATTGGTGCCTCACTTTCTCCTTCCACAGCTCTATCCAAAGGTCCAGAACTCTCAGAAAGTGAGGATCCCAGATGCATGCAACTCTGGTAGCGCTCTGGAGTGAAGCAGTTGGAATGACGGCGTCGAGTGAAGTAAGGACTTGACTCAGCACTGCGACCACCATTCCTGTTATGGCTGCTCACCCTAGAATTTCCACCTTGTGTCACCCCTTCAGGCATGCGACGGATGGTTCCTTCTCTTGTGAGTGAGCAGAATTTCTGGTTCATAGGGGTGTTAGTCTGAAACTTCTTGTAGCTGCTTGGTGAATATGAACTGTTGAGGCTTGCTCGTCCTCTTTCAC